GCAGGGCCTCGGGCAGCCGGCGGGGTACCCCCATCCCTCCCGGATCACAGCCCGGCGTGCTTGTAACGTAGCACGGCCTGGGGGCCTGTGCGAAACTCTCCTACTGACAGCAGAAGAGTTGTTCTCTGCCTGACAGGGCAGCGAGAGGTTCAGGACCAGTTCGAAACAAGTTGCTTAGTGGAGGCTCTCACAAATTCTAAAGGGTATCTACTGAAAAAGGCAGGATGGAGGAAGACGACACGTGTAATAAACCTGGTGTCAGTACCTTCACCTGCAAGGCTGTACATATGCTCACATTTGTGATATTGTTCGGCAGGGTGCGTTCGTACGCTCAAACCAGGAGGCTGGGTGAGGAAAATTCTGTTCAGTCTTCACTTCTTCAGCTCGTGTCTGTACACAAATTGCAAAATAAAAGATCTTAATGCTGCTTAATGCACGCAGTAGATGTCCCAGTTTCATCTAGAAGCAAGGATTTGTGAGATGAATTATGCATACCGCCTGCACCAGCAACAGAGCACACACCTCCATTCTTTTAAAATGTAAAAGCAGGACGTGGGCATTGAGCAAAGTTATCAAAAACAAAAATGAAAGAGGATGTAATAAATACCACATCAGGAGGTTGTGAAGTACAGCCGTGATGTTTTCGAAAACAAAAATGAAAGAGGATGGATGTAATAAATACCGCATCAGGAGGTTGTGAAGTACAGCCGAACCGTCCATTCGGTTCAAATCGATCAGAAAAAGCCCGGCTGATGACTGGCCCGTGATTTCTGACCCGGCAGAACCACCGCTGCAAGCAATATCGCTATATTCACATGTTTCCAAAGGAAGATAGTAAATGATGGCATTATGTAAATATTTACAGAGCATGTCCTTTATAATTCACCTGGTCACTGCTGATTTTTTCTGCAGATTGAGAGAAAATGTTATTAAATAAGATCCTCCCTCAAACTTGCATTACAAAAAAGACCAGATTTGTTAAGCAACAATGCCCCATAACTCTGAGAATGCTGAAGCAGAAAAGCAGTGTTACACAATGCCAACATGATTTTTGGTAACCGTGTTGTGGATGACTTCATGTCCTAGACCCACCGGTTAATGCTCCTGCCAAGCTGCTCTTCGGTAACCGGGTCTTCAACCCACGCAGGCTGAAGCTACCCCCCGGTTTTGTCCTGTACTCGCCTCTTTCGCTTGCTGAGCTGCAGTTCCACCACCCGTTTCGTGATACTCCTGTGGGCAGGGTGGTCCCTCTGCCCGCTCCCGATTGCCTCCCGTGTTGAAGTGTCCGGCTGGATGTAAAACACGTGGATTCCCGTGAAGCCCGTGACACCTGCCTGCTTTGGCCACCTCGGCTTTAGCCACCCTCTGGCTAGAAGCAGGTGGAGTCAAACGCACCTTTGGCCAGGATGAGAGATGGACGGCAGCCAAGGGCAGGGCCCTCAGGGAGTCCTTGGTCTCTGTAGATCAGCCGTGCATTTTTCCTTCCTGCTTTGCCATTCTCCTCGGTTTTACAGCCTCTCCTGCACCTGGTGAGAGCTTGGCCATGAGAAAATGTGCTGAACATGCCCAGGGAGGGAGGTGGATTCTGTCCCCTCCAGGCCACCAGCAGCAGGGTGGCTCTGCAGATCACCAGGGAAGCCGCTGCCCTTCTGTGCTGCGGGAGAGAGCGTGGAATCCTGCCATCCCTACATGTGCTGTGCCTCACTCTTTCTCACCTTCCTGACATGACCAGTGCTGGCATCCGTGCTTGTGTACGCCGAGGGAGAGACAGAGAGGAAGCAGGGCACCCAGTCCTGCCCAGGGGGGCCCAAACAGGGCAGAACAGCCAGCCCCTTTAGGCTCCAGCATCCCCGGACAGACAGTGCTGGGTGCTGCAGGAGCATAAGGAGAACAGAGCACGGGACAGGGCTGGGCTCACGTGCTTCACCTGAACAGCATCTGCTGCCTGGTACACCCCTGCCTGGTCCTGCACTATCTGTTCATGGACCTTACCAGCACCGTTTCAGTTGCCTTTTTTCCCCGTGTCGTGGGCAGGGGGGTGGGAACATACCTGTCCCCTGTACAGGCACAGCAAGGCAGATCATGATATTTTGGAAAACAAACGAGGCCGGGAGCAGCTACACAGACTCTGACCTGTTCGTGTTGGTTTTCTTGTGGTACTTTTCATAAATCAACTCTCCAAACAGTTCCCTCGCACCGTCCTTTAGTTGTTTAAATCTGCAACACACTCACTGAATGCAGGAAGCTGCCGGTCATCCAGTTTGCCTGAAGGAAACCCTGCCCGACCGCAGAATTTCAGAAATACAACCAAAAAAAGACATTGGCGTTCCCTGAACACTCCCGAAAACGACTACTATTCACCGGGGAGAAGCTGCCTGCCTTTAGTAGAGGAAGAGGGAAGGAAAACTACACCTCCCGTCAGGCTGCCGGCGCCCGTGGATAGGGCAGAGTTCACTGTCACGTTGACAGCGGAGGATTAAGGGTGCGTGCTGGGGGCACGGGCCGTCCCGCCACCGGCAGAGCCAAAGGGCCTCTGGGAAGGGCAAGCAGAGAGGCCTCCTCTTACCACCCCTTTCCTTCACTTCTCCGCTCCATCAGGCTCCAAACTTCCAAGGCTGGGTAAGCGTCCGACTTCGCAAACCACTTTGTTCCTCTGACTTCCTTCTTCTGCCGGAGCGTCACCGGCGGGAACAGCACAGGGAGGGGAGGGACGGGAGACGGGCGGCAGAAAGCAGCAATTATTCCCCCCCACCCCCCTCCAAATCTGGTATTTAGCCAGAAAGCTCAGCTGTAGGGCGCGTGCAGGTGGGGAAGGGTGCCCCTCTACGCTAGAAGAGCTGCTGAGGAGGCCGGGCTTGAGATTTTGGCACGGAAACCTGCACAAAACGCTCTCCAGCGGGGCAAGTTTCTCGGGAGTTTTCCCTGCCGCCTAGTTTTCCTGCGGGCAGGCGTTGCGCTCGTGAAAGCCATCGAGAGCCAGCTCCATGCTGCGCAGATGTCCGGTCCGAAAGTCCTTTAGCAAAGGGGGAAATAGCACTGGAGCATATGGGAGAGTCAGGCTGCGGCTCCAGGTTCACAAGATCCGTTCAGGGCACTGCTCGGCCCCCTGGGATAGATGCAAGGTTGCCGCTGCACAGGGCCCCGGCGGTGTTTCTGCCAGCAGCTTTGCCTTCCAGCGCTACCGTCTCCCGATCCAATACACGGGAGGCAGGAAGGGAAGGTGGAGCAGGCTCATTGCTCTGTGTCGAGCTGGCTGCGAGGTACCAGGTGCCCGAAAGCACTCGGGCAGCCTGCCGAGCCCCGGACTCCAGGCCTGCTATGTCGGAATACAGCAGTGTCCATCGGGTAGAGAAACGGGTGTCTCATCCCACCGGCTTGTCCCAAGACAACTGCAGTTTGTGTAGCCCTTGGACTGCCTGTAGCCTGCCAGGAAGCAAAATAGCTAATAGCCCTTGGGCTGAAGGATCGCGGTTATGCGTGGCATCCATCCATTCTCACACCACCTCGGCAATCATGGAGGGAGGAGCTTCCTGCCCCACCATGAATCACTGCTCCTGTGTTTCTCTTTATCAGGTTTATGGGCATTTAGTTGCGATTCCCAAGACCAAGATGGGATGGTGTCTGCGCGGGAGGTAGGACTTGGTCAGCCGCTCGGACAGCAGGGAGATACATCTCCTTATGACCCAAGCAGAAAGTGAAACAAAACGGTGTAGAGCTCCAGGGGAAAAAGAAAATGGAAGACAATCCAAGCGTGGATCTGTCTGGAGGTAAGTGAATCCTACACCATCTACAAGGAAAATCCCTTTGCAAACACGTTTCAACAGTGACAAGGGAAACCTAAGCAAAATAAACATAAACAGTGAAAAAATCCCCATCTTTCCAGGCCAAGAAAAGCCAGTGGCTGTCTTTTTTTGAAGGGTGAAAGCTTAACAAGTTACTTTCAGTTTCAGATTCCCATCTGCAACAGGTTTACACTCTGTGTCCAGGATGGCAGCACAAGGAAGGTTAAAGATGGAGTTCCAGGCTGGGAGAGCTTTCTTCCCTGCATCCCAGTGCTTCTCATTTACAGATGCTTAAATCATAAGCCAGTTATCCACCACCTACGAGTGGGAAACCTCTGTTTGTGCCCAGCTTGACTAGCAGGATACATCCAGGTTCCTCCTTCAGTTTCTGCCTGTACTTACATTCCCGGGGTGTCTTGTTATGAGTGGTGCTTTGAGTATTTCAGCGATACCGCAATGCTATAACCACCTCAGACCTCTCCCGGGCAGTCAGAAGTGTTCCCGTAATAATCATTAACCAAGAATGTAAAACTCATGCTCCAAATGACAGCATGTCCTGACACGTGACAAGCGCAGCTTTTTCTCTGTTTGCAAACTAGTATGGAGTTCCTTGCCATTTTTATCGGCCTTTATTCTAATTTTAGCATAATCTTCTCTCTCACTGTAGTGCTTGGTCACTCATAAGCAATGTGTCACAAACAGCATCTGAAATTTGAGCTGCAACATTCGGTTTTGTCAGATTCAGAATATGCAGTAGATGCTTATGCTCAGCCTCAGAATTTCTCCTTTGAATTACGCTCCAGCATTTCCTTTTAATTCCACATTACCATAGCTCCTTGGGAGAGCAGCTCCAGAACAGGAGCAGAGAAGGAGCACAAGCAGAGCTGACATGCACGTTGGCATAACTGTTCTGCCCAGTATTCAACAACAGCCTTAGAAATTCTTCAAATCCATCGCCTTCATTTACCCACCCAGGAAAACCCACTCTCTGTGGAAGACGGGGTAACATACCCTACCACGTACTATTGTCTGCCCGCCCCACACAGGACAGCGTGGGGCATGGCCTGGGGTTGAGTTCACTTGCCTCACAGCAGCCTGCACAGTGCTGTGTTTTGGATGTGTGGTTTAAAAAGAAACCAACCAAGCATTGATAGCACAGCAGTGTTATGGCTGTTGCTGATCAACGCTTGGCACAGCGTCAAGGCTTTCTCTTTTCCCCACTCTTTCACCAAGCAAATCATCTGGGGTGGGCTGTAGGTTGGGTGGGGACCCATGGTGGGCAAAGGGATGTTGCACACAGTATAACGTCGCGCTCAGCAACAAAAACTGGGGTACAGGAAGAAGAAGGGTGTTGGATTCCAAGGAAGACTGGCCTGGCATCCATCTGCTTGTAGGCAGTGGGGAGCGATTGCCTTTGCATTGCTTGCGATTTCTCCTCTCCCTTTCCTTTACCTATGCAGCTGTCTTTAATCTTGGGGCCAACAAGAAAGCTGGGGGGGCACTTTTTACGAGGGCCTGTAGTGACAGGACAAGGGGCAACGGGTTTAAATTGAAAGTGGGGAGGTTTAGATTAGATATCGGGGAGAAGTTCTTCCTGGAGAGGGTGGGGAGCACTGGGACAGGTTGCCCAGAGAAGCTGTGGATGCCCCATCCCTGGAAGTGTTCAAGGCCAGGCTGGATGAGGCTTGGAGCAAGCTGGTCTGGTGGAAGGTGTCCCTGCCCATGGCAGGGGGGTTGGAACTGGATGATCTTTAAGGTCCCTTCCAACCCAAACCATTCTGTGATTCTATGATCTCAACCCATGAGTTTTCTCACTTTTGGTCACCTTATTGGTCACCCTATCTCACTGAGGATAGATGCTTCCGAAATACAAGAACTGGGAGTTTTACAGGGTGGTGGTAAAGCACTGGGTATTCGTGACTCCTGTATGGTTCACTGAGTTTGTGAACTCCGATCCCAACAGCTGGGCCAGCCCAAGGTGAAGCGGAGAGCGCAGCAGAGTCTCCTGTGCACCAAGAGCCCACCCGAGAAACCCAAGAGCACCAAGTGACAAGCAGGCAGCCCGAGACCTCCTGCAAACCAGAGGAAGACTCTTTGGTGTGTAAATTACCAGCTGCTGATGGAGGAGACACGACACGGTCAGACTCAGCTGTCCCCACAGTCGAGGAGAAGGTTCCCCAGGAAACTGAAGCATCACTGGAAGAATCTGGGAAGACAAGAGATGATGTCTCCACAGGGTCCCAGGAAGAAGACAACCTGGATGAAGGTGAGTCTCTCCCTTTCAGTGTGTACAGCATTTCCAAAATGCTGATAACCTGGGCCTTTGCTTAGAGGAGGCAGAACAGCAGAAAGGGTTGTTGGTTCTTGTGCTGAAAGAGACTAAGGGTAGGTCTGTGAATTTAATTCCCTACAGCCAGGCTGGCCCGTGATAAGACGGACAGCAAAGGAGACAGCCTTGCCCACCCAGAAACACAGGAGGACCGGGAGACGAGCAAGCAACAGGAAGGCTCCCAGAAAGCAGAGGATGATGCTCCATCAGGAACCGAGTCACTGAGCTCTGACAGTAACATGACACACTTGGACGTAGCTGTGACAGAAGATGTCACCAAGGGCCTCTTAGCAGAGAGCACCAGTGCCCCTCTCCGAGACTGGGAGCCAGAAGAGCACATAGAGCAGGAAACACAGGAGGGCGGATCCCAAGGCACGTTAAGGAACAGACACGGCACCAAAGGTGAGCTGGTGGCTGCACACTGCTGCTCTTCCACATGCCTACACTTTCCATAGGCACTGGAAAAATGATACGGTGAGCTCTGTAGTGCTCGTTGCCAGTTTTCCAGAGCCAAGTGGGAAAGAAGGTGTAAGAAATTAACTGGCTTCTCTCTTTCTCTCTCCTTCAGCTACTGTCCTGCTTTGAAAGGCATGAAATCATGCTGCACTCTGCATCACCTTTTTCCTTCCCTGGCCCCAAAAGCAGGGGGGAGCCAAGACTCAAAGCATTATTATCCCAAAGCAATATTCTCTTCTAACTTTCCCCCAGCTGGGAGCTCCTGGCAGCTCTGTTGCTTTTCTCATTACAGCCCAACTTCCCGGTTCCCTCAACACTGAGTGGCACGTTTCTTTCTCTCACCACAGGGCATGCAGCCCCAGAGCCAGAGGCTCAGTCCTGCTTGCAGAATGTCACAGCCCAAAACACAGACCAGGAGAAGGCCCAAAAGTTCCCCTTGCTGAAAGGTGAGGAAAAGAAGCTTCCCTTGCGCGTTACTCATCGACCAGAAGGCACTGATCCTCCAGGAACAAGTAATGAAGCGCATTTAATTCTTCTTCTCTCTCAGGACGTTTCATAGCCTTTTCTGAGGGTTTGAGGGAAAAACTATCCCCTTAAAAATAGGGTCAGTTTGAGCCTACAGTAGTGGCTCAAAAGCAGGCATATCATTTCTAGCATGCCGGGAGTACCCTGGCATGTCCTGGGATGTCTGAGCCTCCTACGCTGGTACTCCCCCTTCCCAATCCCGCCCTGTGTCGCAGGGCCCCGAGCAGAGACTGTGATGCTGCTCTGCACCACACATTTCTCCTGGTAGAAAGAGACCCTGCTTTGCCACGCAGAGGGACGCGAGCAGTTGCGTCTGCACCTCGCTGTCCTCCTTTTTCCGGGCAGAAGCACGGTGGCCTTTGTTCAGGCACATGACTAGGAGGAAGGCAGTGAACAGGACACCTTAGCTGGGTCAGACATCTCCGTACGTGGAGGTGGGTGCTCCGAACGGACACAAAACGGAGCGGAGGGAAGAAAAGAAAGCTTGTGTCCAGCTGCAGTTTCCTCAGGAAGCGTTGCACTGCGACAACAAAGCTGTAGCCTTGCCTCTGACTCTGGAGCTGTAGTCCCGTAGCTGTGTAGGCGTGCGGGTCTCCCAGCACGAGGCAAGCAGCCTCTTCACCATTCCCAGGCCCTCAGAGAGCGTGTCAGACTGAATCACTTTCCTGGGGTAGCGGGGAAGGTCCGGGAGGGGAAGAAGAGCCCTTGTAACTTCTTTCCAGCGTATCACTGCAGGTCACTTGGGACTGACTTCTGTTCCCCATCTTGGGTCTCTCCCCTGCGGCACAGGGCTTGTCGTCGTGAGCCTCGTATTGCTCGGCCTCTGCATATTCTGCTTCGGCAAACCGACCTCCCAGTCCCAGCAAGCCCCCAGGAACCCCACGGTGGAGGCCTTTCTATCCCAGTTCAACCAGCTGCAGGACAGGTTTCCGGAGCAGAGTCCCCAGCTGTGGCTTCGTGGGCGCAAATTCCTGCAGAAGCACCTCAATACGTCCCACCACACGCAGCCAGCCATCATCATCTTCGTGGCCGCCCGCAAGGGCGAGCAGACCTTGCGATGCCTTAGCGCCCGCGTGGCTGACACCTACTCGGCTGCCCTGCACTCCAGCACGGTCCAGATCGATGCCATGGATAAATCCAGGCTCCAGAGCGACCAGGCCAAGATGGAGGTGGACACAGAGCTGAGCTCAGCTTTCCAGGAGGGGGGCCGCGCTGCAGTGGTACACCGCTTTGAGTTGCTGCCGGCGGGGGCCACTCTCATCTTCTACAAATACTGTGACCACGAAAGTGCTGCTTTCAAGGACGTGGCTCTGCTGCTGACCGTGCTGCTGGACGAGGAGACGCTGGAGCCCCACATCAGCCTCCAGCAAGTGGAAGAGAGGGTCCGCGACTTCCTCTGGGCCAAGTTCACCAACACCAGGACCCCCAGCTCCTACGACCACATGGACTCCGACAAGCTGAGTGGGCTGTGGAGCCGCATCTCCCACCTGGTCCTACCGATCCACCCGGTGCAGACCATCGAGAAGAGGGGCTGCCATGTCCACACCAAACCCTAGAGCCAAAGGCCGCCGGAGCCCCAGGAAGGGTTGGAAAGATGGTCCTGGCTGACTCCGGTGCAGGCGGAGGCACAACCAGTGCTACTTCTCTTCAATTTGTTTTCCGTACCTTCCTGGGAAGAGTGGGACAGGTACAAGTCAATCCAGCTTGAGCCCTGGAGGTGATAGATCACACACTTCCTTCTGGCAGACAGGAAGAGTAGATACTTCAGACTGCTAATTGCATAGAACATCGCTGCGTGGGGAGGCAGGAGGGAAAACAGGATTTTGCAGGTAGCGTTTCTGTCAGGCAATACACGAAAATAATGTACACAGCTAGCACGCCAGAAGGATGCTTCAGTTCAGCAGCACTTCCATTCCTCCCTGCCCCTCTACTTGCTCATGTTATGTGCATCAGTCTCACAATGTACTTTATCCAGGAGGTTTCTCTCCCTTTGCAGGGAGCCACTGGAACCCTGGAAGGTCAAATGCCCCAAAGCCCAACATTTGGAAGGCATGCTTCAAAAAGAAAACCAGTTTACTAGCCAAAGGTTTGACCAGTCAGCCCTGACAGTGTCCCGCCTGCGCAAACTGATTGACAGCCAGCACAGACCAGATCCTAAATACAGGATGTTCAAACAGACTTGCAATTCAGAAATTCCGTAAACACCAATTACAAGAAATTTCAGGCTGTCAGCACTTAAAGCACTGCACTAAAGGAGGGAATCCCATGAGAGGATCCCGTATGCCGGAGAATAGGCTCGGAAAACAGAAAGCAAGGAACAGAGACTGCCTCACTGTTGCTCCGACAGCAATGAAAGGATGAGTGATACAATTCAATTTAATGCTACTTCTTCCAAAAAAAAGTCCACTCCTGATACATTTACAGCCACAAAGCCACAACCACCTCTTTGGGCTGCTGCATCTGTTTTGGTCCTACGCGATAGCTTGCTCTTCCCTCGGCTCTCTGACCTGTGTGTGGGGCAGGAAGCTGCCTGCCTGCCTCTCCCCAGCGGACTTCTATCGATGAATGTAGATGTTAACAGGGATATTTATTTCAAACCACCAGGTCCTTGCCCTCCAAAGGTACATTTGCCTCCCTGCTAGGCAGCTGCTGCTCCGGCAAACGCTAAAGCAACTAAGAGCAGAGCTGGGATTCGCTGGTGAAGATAAAAAACTCTGGTGTTAACACTAAAAATCCTCAGTGAAGCAGGTTGGTTTCTTACTGTGCCTTCACTTCTGCATCCCAGGAAGACAACTCCGAGTCCTGGAAACACAGTGGTGCCCCTGGTTTCTGCAGCCGCTCCGGGGCACCTGGGGGAGTGTAGCTGCAGGTTGCAGCACCTATAACACCCCAGGTGTCAGCCCTGGGTGCCAGCCCTCCTGCTGCCTGCCAGGAGGAGCAGCTGTTGCAGAGCACGGCTTCCTTCCAAGACTTTCAGAATCAGGCTCTGTGTCTGAATGAGACACAAGCAGCACATTGGAGTGCTGGGGGTCTCCTGCCAACGGTGCCTTGCTGGTCTGCCCCACCAATGGCTCAGCTGAGCACAGCCCCGTACCCTAAATCCACAGCCTGTCTCCTCTTCCCTCCTGCTGTGTGCCTTGTCCTGTCTCAAGAGATTTGGGGACATTAACCGGGAGGAGAGGATGAAACGAGGAAAAGGAGGGGGTTTTTTGTTCATGTTCTCCCCAAAGAACAGACTTTTTGGTGGGTTGGGGACATGAAGACAAAAGTACAGGGGTTTTAACTATGACAAATTCTGTAAGAATTACCTGCTGGAGCCCACCAGCAGCAGGGCAGCCCAGGGTGAGGGTTTGTACAAGATAGGGCTTTGCTTCCTCCCCTTCCTCCTTTTTATTGCTATACACTACTTTGGTAACATAAAAACCACTCTTTCGGGTCTGCAGGGTTCAGTATGGGCATCGATGTAAGAACCAGCAAAGTGTTAATCGTGTTATGTCAATATATTGAGGGAAATCTGCATTTTAACGTTCTCTCCCTCCTTAGTTCTACATACTCTGTGCGTAATGCATAGCCAAGGGATGCAGGGGCAACCTCACGCTGCTTGGGCCCGTCGCTGTCAGTGTCATCCGCCGAGCTGTTCTAACACAGATATTTTTATGACCTTATAAAGACAAAAATGTCTGCTTGCTTCTGGAACAAGACTTCTATTTAAAAATAAATAATGAGATGGTGAAAGAAACCAGCAAAGTCTTCAAAGTGAGACTGGAGCCTTACTGTATTCTGGTTTTTTTCCTCTAGCTCTTTTCAGTCCATTAAGCAAAACAGATCATCACATTGGAGAAAGTTTTATTCAGGTCAGGGCTGTAGTTGTGCAAACAAAGTGAATATTCGCTTTTTCTGGAAAAAACAAACAAACAACCTTTTTCTCAGACAAATATTTGCAGTTTTTTTCAACTAAGCACAAAACTAAAGCCAAACCTACTGACAGCTCCTGAATTCAACCCAGACTGAAACACACTGAGGTTTGCATAATGACAGTAATCAGACTAAAACCCACTGACAACTGAAATATTTTAGAAATACAGAAAGCAAATATTTCTCATTTCACCACCCTTGATCACATCAGATTCACCCAATGTCACACCACCTCAGCACACACAAGTTTTTAGGTTTCTGGTGAATTATTTTGCCTGCCTGCGGCCTAAACAGAGAGACAGCTGAAAAGAGGGGGATTTACACTGTTAATTCTGGATTTTCTTCAGTTCCTGTCCAGGTTCTGGCAACCTAAATCCTCACTGGCATCTGTTTTCAAGTAGACACTCATTCCTGTGATCGACTGCCAGGAGTAAACATCACTCATCTCCTGTTGCCTGGTGCAAGAGGACAAGATTTGGTCCTAGCCCGAAGGTTCCGATGAAAATCCAGCATCACCAGGTTGCTGGAAGCCACAGCCAGGCCGCCTTTTTTAGCCTTGCACATGAATTCCAAAGCGAGTCCAAGGGGAGCATCAGAAGGAGCTCCGAGAGCATCTCCTGGTGGAAGGGTGCACGGGTGGTTTTCCCCTAGGCAACGTGCTCACCGCGATCTGTGTGGGTAAATAGCAGCAGCAGCATCCTCAGACCCGCCCCAAAACACGGGTTGAACCTCTCTGTAAACCTTGGGATTGAATCCACAGCCAGTTCAGAGAAAGGACCTTTAAGAGGTACCAGGCGAGAGCCTCCCAGGTGTCCCTGAAGTGGCTGAGCAGCGTTTTCCCAAAAGGGAGAGACACCAATGCAGAGGCGCAAGGCCGACCTTCCCACCCACCACGCTGAGCCGGAGCATTTCCACACCATCCCCTTCCTCCTGCACCCCGGTGGGGCTGGTCCTGCGGCAGTTTGGGGCCGACAGCAGGACTCCCAGCCGAGTTCAGGTTCCCTTCTTCTTCCCAGACCGTGAGTTAATTCGGAAATGTTGTGCTCCGGCGCGTGCTTCCCCAGGGCATGGGTGCAGCACCTGCAGAGCCCCCGGTGAGGGACCACCAGACATGGGGCTGAGCCAAGAGCACCCATGGCAGCTCCGGAGGGACTAAAGCTCCTGCTTCCCACCAGCTCTCCAACAGCTGAGAGAGGTCAGAGCAAGACCAGGGTGGAGCAGGTCACAGTCCAGCTCTGCACCATTGCAGATAAATTAATTTCTTCCTCCTGGGAACCACATTCACCTCTTCCCTTCAACTGTCCCCTCCTTCCTCGTTCATAATCTCTGCAGGAGCATCTCTCCTGCCCATACACACATTGCCCAACATGGACAAGCCATGGGTTTGGCTGGAGCTTATCAGTTGCCTGCTCTTATGTCACTGCTAAAACAAAATTCCTTTTCAATCCCTCACCTACAAAAAGATAAATAAATCATTCTTATTCTATTTGGCTTATTAAACAGTGCAGCCCCCTCCCCAACCATCCCCTTTTTTCAGTCCCACTCCGCAGCAGTAGTTCTGCAGGGAAGGACGTACTGCCATAGGGTGCTCAACGACCCTAAAAATTACCTTTACAACTACAGACCAGTCCAGCTGAGGGGCAAAACCAGTTCTGCAAGGCCAGTTTGAA